CATACATGAATAATAATAATAATAAAATTACAATGATATATTACTGATAATATCAGTCCTAGAATCAAGTTGTTTTAAACCATCTGCATGTGGGTTAGAAATAATATTTAACAAACGTTTTTCAAATTGTTCATTTCTTTTACTTTTCAGTTTGGGTGCTTGATCAGCATTAATGTGTAAGATGCCAATATGTGTCGCGTTTTCTTCTTCAATTAGTTTCTCTAAGAAGGACCAAAGTGTTGGATGTGAACTTTGAAAAACGGAGCCGATTCGACGATGATAAGCTTCCGCAATGTTGTTTGTTCTCGGCTGCATCCGCTGTCCGATGCTACATATTCCAAAAATCAATACTAAACTTAGGCTGTTGTCTTGTTTGATTAGGTCTAAGTCGTCCTAAAAAATACATATTTTCTTAAACCGTGAAACTATAATCATAAACATCGACGACTACATACCAATATATGTTTCTTCAAAATAATCAATAATATCTTTATAATCATCGCCAAGACTTAAGGATAAGCGTTCAGATGCATTTATAACAACATTCGGGTGGATGAAGGCTAGTGCGACAATCTTGTGAATATTATGTGCGAATATGGGGTCGTTTCGATATTGAGTTTGATAACCAAGTGACTAAATGTTATTACCAACGGTTAAGATTAAGAATCGAACTTCATATGTAATACTCACTTAAATTTGACGATGGGTACTTTGTCTTAAATGAAAATAACATCCAGACAGGGCAATATGGGGAAACACTTGCATCTAGAACAATACATAATACATGCTTATTCAAAATCAAACATAAATGATCGAGGATATCAGTGGGTGCAAATTCAACTATTTAATTTATTAAACGTTGATATGTTACCGCATTTTTCCGACGTAATGATGCATAAAGTATAAGCGACTTGACACACCTTGAACGCCTTGCCAGACCTGGTTGCTTAGTGGGCAACCAGGCGGACATAAAACGAAAGTATTATTTTTCAAAGTTTAAGCATTAGAAATAATTACTTCTGTCTTTGATCTATCTTGTCCTGAAACAACATTTTCAGAAATTAAATTGAACGTTGGAAAAACACATACTAAGAAATTTGTTCAAAAATCGCTATCCTCAGATAAAGTTAATTTTTTGGCCAACTTATTGGAGTAGTTTAATTCGAAAACTATCTGAAAAGAATTATTCATCTATGAACTCCATTTTAATGAAAAGATCGTTTAGATTGAACTCAAATTGCTACAGAAA